GTGTTACAGTAAAGGTGATACTGTAGAAATAGAAAGGAGAGAGTGAGAAGAGAGCAAGAGAGAGAGAGAAGAGAGAGAAAGAGACAGATGTGCACAATCAATGTGCTTTGACCTTGGAGTTGGATATAACACCTACTCTGACAATTAATGGTGTTACTTTTCTTATGTAAAAATGTCTTCAATATAATTGGTTCACAAGCAATTTCCTTTGAGTTGCCATGGTAAAATAAAGCTTTGGAGGAAGCGTCCTAAATTGCAGTAGGAAATGCTCTACAAGAAAACTGAAAACTCTTTATGTATTTATGGCCTACAGTGCATTCTTTTGTGAATTTCTTTTCGGCATGACATTTCATTTCAAGGACTTCAAACATGTGAGACACTGATTGTTAAATAGAAACATATGGCTCCGAGAGAGAGCAAGATACAGAGAGAGATAGAAAGAAAGACAGAAAGAGACAGAAAGAGAGACAGAAAGAGAGAGAAAGAGAGACAGAAAGAGAGAGATAGAGAGACAGAAAAGAGAAAGAAAGAGAGATAGAGAGAGAATAGATATCCAGAAAGAGAGATATATAGAGACAAAGGGAGAGAAGATGAGAGATAGAGAGAACAGAGAAGATAGAGAGAAAGAGAGACAGAAAAGAGTTAGAGAGGCAGAAAGAGAGAGATAGAGAGACAGAAAGAGAGAGAGATAGAGAGACAAAAAGAGAGAGAGAGACCGATAGGGAGACAGAAAGAGAGAGAAAGAGAGACAAAAAGAGAGCAAGAGACAGAGAGAGATAGAAAGAAATACATAAAGATATAGAAGAACGAGAGACAGAAGAGAGAGAAAGAGAGACAGAAACTATAGGAGAAAGAGAGAGAGAGAGAAAAGAAAAAGAGAGAAGAGAGACGAAAGGAACAGGAAAGAAAAGAGAAAGAGGACAAAAAAAGAAGAAAGAAGACAGAAGAGAGATAGAAAGAAAGACAGAAAAAAAGGGAAGAGAGACCGAAAAAGAGAGAAAAAAGAGACAGGAAAGAAGATAGAGAGCAGAAGAAAAGAAAGAAGACGAAAAAGATTAGAGGGGACAGAAAGGAGAGAAAGGGGAGAAAATAGAAAGAAAGAAAAGAGACAAGGGGTAAGAGCAGAAAGAAGAAAGAAAAAAGAGAAGAAAAGGACAGAAAGAGAAGAGAAAGAAGACAGAAAAGAGTTAGAGGCAAAAGAAAGAAAAAGGGTAAAGAAAGAGAGATAGAGATTTTAAGGACAGAAGAGAGAGACAGAAGAAAAGAAAGAGAAGAAAGCAGAAAAAAGATAAAAAAGACAAAAAAAAATAAAAGGAACATAAAATAAAAAAGAAAAAGATAAATAGAAAGAAATAGAAGAGAGAAGAAAAGAGAAGAGAATCAACGATGAAGACATGGGTTGGGTGCTGACGCATGTAAGAGCCCTCATTGAAAACAGCTACACAGGAATAGCGGTGTCCTTCCGTCAGAACATTACTCATTAACCATGACTCACTAAATGAAGGGCCCTCTGTCTGGATCATTAGCGCAATAAAGACGTTTGAAGCCGACATCATAATTTGACTCCCATGCGTAAGCTTGGTGGGCTCAGCTAGGTGTTACGTGCAATTAGGTGGTCTAGGAGTACACTTAGACTGGCTGAGGTGAAAGGGAGGACTGGTCTTCCTGGTTATGGAGGACATCTGATAGAATTACTTTACATTTTAGTCATTTAGCAGACGCTCTTATCCAGAGTGACTTACAGTTAGTGAGTGCATACATTTTATATATAATTCATTTTATGAATGAACCCAGCTGCTATGACTCTGAAAGCAACAGATGTTAACATGCAGTAACAATGGATATCAAGAGCTGGCTGGTGTGTGTAACAACGGATATCAAGACACAGCTGGTGTGTGTGTTCAGCTCATGAGGTCCATTTCCACGTCACACCTTAAATCTGACTAGTGTACACTTGTTCTGAGATTGCACACCTCTCTACTCCAGGTCGAACGTATGTAGCCCCAAGGCACAGATCTGTGATCCGTGTGATCTGTTCACTGTGCCAAAGTTTAACATTAAACATTACACTACAGCAAAACTGATCACGGATCAGTTTAAGCAGCATGTCTCTCTGAGGTCACATTAGCTCAGTAAGCTCCTAATGGGCCTGACCCTTGTAGAGAGGCCATGACAGTGAAGGGATGACCTATGTACACAGTTTGACGTCTCCCTTTGCAGTTCAAGGCATAACAAATGTCTACCAGCTACTGCATGTATCAATCCACAAACTGGGCCTTAAATACAGTTGGCATCTTATATTCACACAATTCACAATCAACACAACATAGGCTATTCTTGATGGTTTTGTTATTGCACTGAGGTTACCAAAGGAAGGTCAAACTAAACAAAAAGTATGTAAATTGTTTCAGATTATTTAAAAAAGAAATGAGGGAAATGCTATTTATTTGACCCTTTATGTCAGGGCTATTCAACTATATTCTTACAGGGGCCAGATGTAAAAAAGGTTAATTGCAGGGGGGCTGGACATTTTCCACATGCGATTATTATTTGGAAGAACTGTATAAAAAAGCAACACACACACCAATAAAGCACTTTTCTACAAATTAAATGTTGCTAAAAGTAATTAGGAAAGAAGTGGAGAGTGCTCAACCAACGAGAGTCGAGGTGCAACCAAAATATTTGATAATCATTGAAAAGGAAAAGGCACAATGCTCGCTCACGATTTTTAAAAGCTTCTTAATTAAAAGTAATTAGGTCATTTAAATATAATCTGAAAGCAAATGATCTCAAATCAGGTAATGCCAAATTTCAGTCTGAAGGAAGTATGCTTTGAATTAATTTCCCTCAGTCATTTCTCTCACACTCCCTTTTAACAAGTCCTTCTGAGCATCAGAGAGGAAAACAGAAAGCATGTACATGTTCCTGAGAACATGCTTGTCATTATGGAACAGAACTTCAGATTTTGGCTATATTTTTTTTTTGCAGATCTTTTATTAATGTTCAAAATTGATCAAAGGGCCCGTCTAAATTAAAAAAGGAGCCGAATCTGGCCAGCGGGCCGCCAGTTGAATAGCCTTGCTTTATGTCTACCATGTTCCATTTAGCTTTTGAGGATACAATATATACTGAACAAAAATATAAATGCAACATCCCAGACATTTTCCATACACAAAAAAAAGCTAATTTCTCTCATATTTTGTGCACAAATTTGTTTACATCCCTGTTAGTGAGCATTTCTCCTTTGCCAAGATAATCCATCCACCTGACTGACAGTTGTAGCATATCAAGAAGCTGTTTAAACCGCATGATCATTACACAGATGCACCTTGTGCTGGGAACAATAAAAGGCCACTTTAAAATGTGCAGTTTGTCACACAACACAATGCCATAGATGTCTCAAGTTTTGAGGGAGCGTGCAATTGGCATGCTGACTGCAGGAATGTCCACCAGAGATTTTGCCAGAGAATTGAATGTTCATTTCTCTACCATAAGCTGTCTCCAACGTCATTTTAGAGAATTTGGCAATACGTCCAACCGGCCTCACAACCGCAGACCACCTGTAACCACGCCAGCCCAGGACCTCCACATCCGGCTTCTTCACCTGCGGGATCGTTTTGTGCCATTGAGCCATTTTGTGGGAAAAAACTCATTCTGATTGGCTGGGCCTGGCTCCCCAATGGATGGGCCTGGCTGCCAAGTGGATGGGCCTATGTCCTCCAAGGCCCACCCATGGCTGCACCCCTGCCCAGTCATGTGAAATCCATAGATTAGGGCCTAATGAATTTATTTCAATTGACTGATTTCCTTATATGAACTGTAACTCAGTAAAATCTTTGAAACTGTTGCATGTTGCCTTTATATTTTTGTTCAGTATAAGTTATTGTCCATTTACATGGAAATTAATTTTGTAAAGTCAGCATACAAATAAATACACAAATGCAACACACTATAATACATGCAGTATGGAAAACTGGAAAGTTAGCACAAAAAGTTGAAAATTGAACCTTTAAGAGCACTGAACTAACACAGTTAACACAACATCGAGCAACGCATTTGTGTAGCACTATCTGTGCATTATAAGACAGTATAATAGCCTATCATCATCTGCTATAGGCAGCCTAATTAATCGCAAAAAGATTATTGGCAGACTTAATCAATTTTTACATATTGAAGTATTTACTTTTACATACATTTTCTAAAGGCAAAAAGCTAAATTAGACATTAGAATGCTTTAATACACAGCAGTCATGATTTTAAGATGCCTAAAATGATTTTTTGTCAAGGAATTCTAATAATCTTCGCCCAATGCTATAAGTACAGTTAATTAAAAATAAAAGTGTCAAAAAGTAGGTTAATATGACGAAATGTAAGTCTAATTGATGTGATATCATCGATTTGACTCAGTCACTGCAACAACCTATTTCGACACTTAAAAGCCTAATTGCAAGCGCTCTCATCATCAGCACCTTGGACAGCGGTTTTACGCTACATGGAAATACTTGTTTGCTGTCCTTGCCTGACTTGCCCTAAATTTGACAGCAGCGTGTCCCTGTAAAACGTGGAGGCTGGCTACTCTACTAATATGTTTAATTATACACTGGGTTATATTAAATTGAGTTGATCATGTAGTAAATAAAACCCACAACAACTTGCGCTTAGCCTACAACTTCACCCAAATACAACACACTGACGCTTGCCAAGTTGTCCTCGAGGACAAAACAACATAACTCAAGTCAGAAACGACAAGTGTTTTTCCTCCGCAGGGTATGAACCTCGGGGTATAATTGGGATTAGCGAAGTACGTGTCATCCCTCTCAGACAACACACCGTGCGCCGAAGCATATTTTTAGACAGGATTTAGAGAAAGAGGAGCCGGTCAAGTGTTTTCTCCGAGGAAGCACCTTTGTGTCTTAGCAAGCAGAGAGCGCGCAGCTCCTTGTATGTCTCGGTAGCTGGAACCTTCGGACAACAAAATGTCAGTCAATAATTCTTTTCAAATGGCTAACATTCCATGGAGGAATAACAATTTTACCGTGTCAAATAAAGACCCACCTTTCTCGGATCAAGGGGAGACCATTATAGGAGTATACCTGTTGGTGCTAGGTGGGTATACATTTAGAGAACTTGCTTATAGAGTTTTTGGAATGTAATTTCGTTTTTAAAATGCATCTTTGCTTTTATGATGCAAAGACATGATTTAGTTTTGCTTTCATGGCAAAACATCTGGAAATATGTCATTAATGGCTTGTTTACCACTACATAATTTCTCTATTATTTCCGAAACGTTAAGGTAAGATGAATGACAGTACTTTTTTTATGAATTTACAAAATATGTGATTCAGAGTAGCCTACATTTATCTTGTTATTTTTTTACTCTACCATGTGTTGATATCGCAGTACACAACAATTGGGTGAAGAGTTCGATTGCACTGCAGAATACAAATTACCAATGCCAGAAACCTTTGTTATTGCAGTTGTTATACTACTGTCAGTGTAGTGTATGGGCAACAGTTAGTGGATTTGGTGCTATAAGTAGCTTAGGACAAATCTTCTCCAGGGAGAGAGGTGAATCCTGCAGCCATTCAGATCCTGTCTAAGACATGGAAATCGTCAATCAAGAAAGGATGGCAGTCAGCCAGACTTTCTTTAAGAGAGGGCAGAAAGACATGTAATTCCCTGTTATTTGGTGCAAATATATTTAAATTGATCCTGACTTTTGAAATCAATAGGGTTACTGTAATTTTAGTTAGAGGATAGGTAGGCTACTCAGTGCACCTACTATTAGCTCTAAAGGAAGTTTCATGAAGGAAGATTTATGCTCATTTCAGCATTTGAATATTTAGTGTTTGAAGAGAAGGTCAGTAGGTTAAAATCACAGATGAGGCACTTTGTCACCTCAATGCTTCATGCTGCTTTATGAGCTGCATTTTGTATGGTGTGACTACAATTCCATTACTTTTCACAAAACTGAAGAGGCCTTTGATCATAGGTAGTGTGGGACACACTGGTAATAGATGGGGTGAGTTTCCCTCTATGTAGTGCTTTTAGTGTCTGGAAAAGAGCTATATAAAGCCAATCAGTTAGTATGTCAATGGGTTTTTTCCTCGTCAGGTTGGCTGTCGTGGTTCGGCAACAGTATCGTGATCTTTGTCCTGTACAAGCAGCGTGCGTCACTGCAGCCCACGGACTATCTGACCTTTAACCTGGCCATCTCCGACGCCAGTATTTCCGTCTTTGGCTACTCCCGAGGGATCCTGGAGATCTTCAATGTGTTCCGGGACAACGGATACCTGGTTACCTCCATCTGGACATGCCAGGTAGGCAATGAGGGGATCTGGTTGGAGGGGGAAAAGTTGTTTTGTGAGATGCTTCAAATTTATATTGTATGTGAATGGTACTGTGTTGCATGTGTAGCATGTGCCATCCTACTGCAGGATCCGATACTATACTCACTTACAGCAATACTCACAAGACACAGACATTACCGCTATCCCATAAAACATGGCATTATTGGACAGGACTTTAGTAGTTCAGGTCTCCTGGAAGGTGACGTCACTGTGAGATGCTAACTTCGCCATCCTCTACACAAATGTCAAACACACAACCAGGACAACTTACCTTTATGATTGCAGATTTGCAAAAACATTGCTCTATGGCTTTGTTCCTATTGGAGTTCTTTATCATTTCCAGCTAATTGCCTAGTTAAGAATATCAATGGTCCACTCAGAATGGAAGACTAAGTAAATATAACACAATGGGCAAAGCATAGAAATGTGTTGCAACAGATCATTATATTCACTACACTACAATGCTTCTTTGGGGGGATGATCCTTTCTATTATTAGCTTGGTGACGAATAGAATATTAACAATGGGTGCTCCGGACAGTTGATCATTAATTCAATAAAAAGTAGCGTGTTGGCACATTCATCACATTGAGTGATGACGATGAGTCACCTGGAAGAAGCGAGATGGTGGTTTTACAAGGTGTCACAAAGGCATTAGATTACTAACTACAGCACAGGAGAAAAGGTCTATAGGCTTCACCTGAAGTAATATAATGTTAATAATATAATATAATATAATATGCCATTTAGCAGACGCTTTTATCCAAAGCGACTTACAGTCATGCGTGCATACATTTTTTTTTTTGTGTATGTTAACACTATCTTAGGGGGGAATAAGAATGCTTTAGCCACATCAACAGCCAAACATAGATGGATGGTTAAGGTCTGGTACATGCTTATTGCATTTGATAAAGAGGAAGCGTGATTTGCACAAGGGTCAATATCATTAAGGTGTCCTGTAATGTCTGGTTCCTTGTGTACGCGTGATTAACGGGCAATATCCATTACCTTGTTTTATTGGGGTCTATTCTTGAAAATATAAATTTTAGTTCAAGCCTATCAATCAATTTACCAGATGGGTTTTTGTTTTGGTGCACAGTGTGAGAAAATGGCACCTTAAAAAAAAACTGAATGCAATGTCTGTGAAATTACAATGTTATCCCTGTTTTATTTGTATCAAACTTGTTAACACAACAACAGTATGTGTGTTTTAATGTTAATTACAGTTATTTCCCCAAGCAGGTGTTGCTGCTTGTTTGGTAAAAATCGTAGTTAAATAATGTCCAACTAACGCTGAACAAAAATATTTTCATTAACTATTGGCCAATGCTAAAAACAACAGGAAAACAACTAAATTAAAAGTACTGTATGAAAACAAACTAAAAGTAGAGACAGAAATTATTTTTAAAAGACTGAGATAAAAAAAATACATTAAGTAACAGGGCAGATGAGGAAAACATAAATATGAGGAAGAGAGAAAGGAGAGTTTCTTCTGAGAAAGAAAAGGTTAGCAGACATTGAAAGCTGGATTCTAGAATGTCTGGGTCAGAGTGAGGTGAGAGAGTGGTCATTTACATTTACATCATTTAGCAGACGCTCTTATTCAGAGCGACTTACAAATTGGTGCCAGTGGGACAACCACTTTTTTTATTTTATTATTATTATTTTTTATGGGGGGGAGGGGATGAGATTGCGGACCATAGGATAAACGTTTTTAGACATTTCTAACATATACTGCCCTAATTTTTGTAAGAAAAGTGAAGATAATATGAAAGATTAATCTCTCGTGAAATTGTATGACTTGACTTAAACCATATTTTTTTGTAAGACAAAATATTTGATAAAATATGTGAAAAGTCCGGACTGGGTTTAATGGGTACTGAATGTACCCTTTAAGCCCATGGGTATTCCAAATAAGCCCACCTCTTAAATAATCCATTTGAATTATTTCCTAATGCTGAAAACGTACAAACTGACATATCTTATGTTAACTTAAATTATAATAATCTCCCCTAAAGTTATTAAAATCAACTGATCATTACTATTCATCATGGAAGTATCACTCATAAAAGGGGGTGTCCAATCGTATCCGCAGAGAACAATGTGGGCCCAGGCTTTTGTTCATGCCAACCAGTACACACCTGATTCGACTAATCAACTAATCATAGACTTCAACCAAGACTTGATAAATTGAATCAGTGTTACTGTTTGGTTAGAACAAAAACATGCACCCTCACCGGCCCTCTGTGGATAAGACGCCATGCACAAAGACCATAACACAAACAACTTTTAATGAATTATCTAAAAGCTGGTTCACATTTGCTGTACTCTTATTCTTGTTCATTAGTTCAACTTGTCTTCCTAAAGCCTGTCTGAAGACAGTTTAAAATCTCCCTCTCTACTGTTAAGGTACATGTGCTGAACGAAACAACAAAAACACCTGGATGAACGAGGGACAACAATATGACAATGCCCCTGGCTCTAACTGCATAAGTAGTCATCCAATAATCATCGTCTTGTCCCTCATTTGTTTCCATTTTTGTCCACTACTTTTAGGTCCTCCATCCCTGATATCCTTCAACCCTGATCTTATTCTACTCTCTCTGCATCAATGACTACCTGTTCACTCCAAACGTCTTGGAGAGAGTAGAGAGGCTTTTAATTGTTCTTAATAGTTTTTAAATCTTGGTAAACGCATCATTGATAGATGCATAATATGCATAAATGTAGTTTGAGCATTTTAATTAAAATAAATCTGAAGAAAAATAATTTATGCTCAGGTTCATTGAATATTAGGGATATCAACACACAATCTCCATGTGTTTCAATGCAAACCGGGCTACTGGGCTTAATTGGAACAACAGTGATTTATGGTAAAAAAGACAGAATAGCAAAGTTCAGTCATAAACTATTTGGAAACCAATGGTTTTCGGGTATAAATTAACACTATAGACTACAATATTATGTGACGTTAGTTTTGATCATATTGAACAATATTATTTAATTTTCATTTACATTATGTATAGAGCGAGTGCTTTTTGTGCTACTGTACCCTTTAAACCCACCTGAGATAAATGTCAAATTTACAAAAAAGCCAACCATGTATAAAAATGCAAGGTTCATTTAACAGTAAAATAAGACAAAATTAATTTAAAAAATGTGAGCTGTGAGTGCTTAAGATCTGTTATATTGTTGTGGTTCACCAAGTTATGTTGCTACTGTATTGACTGACATTTGGTACGACTGCTAGCATGAAAAACCCATCTTTTCAAATGGCAAGAAATAGTAATTAATACCTACAGTGGGGAGAACAAGTATTTGATACACTGCCGATTTTGCAGGTTTTCCTACTTACAAAGCATGTAGAGGTCTGTAATTTTTATCATAGGTACACTTCAACTGTGAGAGACGGAATCTAAAACAAAAATCAAGAAAATCACATTGTATGATTTTTATGTAATTAATTTGCATTTTATTGCATGACGTAAGTATTTGATCACCTACCAACCAGTAAGAATTCCGGCTCTCACAGACCTGTTAGTTTTTCTTTAAGAAGCCCTCATGTTCTCCACTCATTACCTGTATTAACTGCACCTGTTTGAACTCGTTACCTGTATAAAAGACACCTGTCCACACACTCAATCAAACAGACTCCAACCTCTCCACAATGGCCAAGACCAGAGAGCTGTGTAAGGACATCAGGGATAAAATTGTAGATCTGCACAAGGCTGGGATGGGCTACAGGACAATAGGCAAGCAGCTTGGTGAGAAGGCAACAACTGTTGGCGCAATTATTAGAAAATGGAAGACGTTCAAGATGACGGTCAGTCACCCTCGGTCTGGGGCTCCATGCAAGATCTCACCTCGTGGGGCATCAATGATCATGAGGAAGGTGAGGGATCAGCCCAGAACTACACGGCAGGACCTGGTCAATGACCTGAAGAGAGCTGGGACCACAGTCTCAAAGAAAACCATTAGTAACACACTACGCCGTCATGGATTAAAATCCTGCAGTGCACGCAAGGTCCCCCTGCTCAAGCCAGCACATGTCCAGGCCCGTCTGAAGTTTGCCAATGACCATCTGGATGATCCAGAGGAGGAATGGGAGAAGGTCATGTGGTCTGATGAGACAAAAATAGAGCTTTTTGGTCTAAACTACTCGCCGTGTTTGGAGGAAGAAGAAGCATGAGTACAACCCCAAGAACACCATCCCAACCGTGAAGCATGGAGGTGGAAACATCATTCTTTGGGGATGCTTTTCTGCAAAGGGGACAGGACGACTGCACCGTATTGAGGGGAGGATGGATGGGGCCATGTATCACGAGTTCTTGGCCAACAAACTCCTTCCCTCAGTAAGAGCATTGAAGATAGGTCGTGGCTGGGTCTTCCAGCATGACAACGACCCGAAACACACAGCCAGGGCAACTAAGGAGTGGCTCCGTAAGAAGCATCTCAAGGTCCTGGAGTGGCCTAGCCAGTCTCCAGACCTGAACCCAATGGAAACTATTTGGAGGGAGCTGAAAGTCCGTATTGCCCAGCGACAGCCCCGAAACCTGAAGGATCTGGAGAAGGTCTGTATGGAGGAGTGGGCCAAAATCCCTGCTGCAGTGTGTGCAAACCTGGTCAAGACCTACAGGAAACGTATGATCTCTGTAATTGCAAACAAAGGTTTCTGTACCAAATATTAAGTTCTGCTTTTCCGATGTATCAAATACTTGTCATGCAATAAAATGCAAATTAATTACTTAAAAATCATACAATGTGATTTTCTGGATTTTTGTTTTAGATTCCGTCTCTCACAATTGAAGTGTACCTATGATAAAAATTACAGACCTCTACATGCTTTGTAAGTAGGAAAACCTGCAAAATCGGCAGTGTATCAAATACTTGTTCTCCCCACTGTATGTAGTATGCTATCATGTGCATATATCAACACATTAATCTCTTAATTTTACATTAAGTGTGATCACTTATCTGAGAAGGTACAGAAAATATCTAAAAAATGTGTTTATCTGAGAGTCACCTCCACACCAAAGTTTTTTTGCAGCTTTGAAATGGACCGCTAGTAGGAACTTACACATAACTGTCAATAACTTAATAATACAACATCTGATTGTTATTTCCATAACCGTTTTTATTCTAAGACAATCAGATGAATTGGTTGAAACATTAAACAGCAGGAAATGTTTTTTTATATTTTTTTTTATCCAAAGATGGAAGTGGGCTTCATGGGAACGTGGGCTTAATAGGTACGCTTACCCTAACAAGCAGCAAGTAAAATGCATGATGGGACATGAACTCTGACATGTAACTACTTTCCAACCAGACCTGGGTTCAAATACATGTGTATTTGTGTATCTGGTATTTAAAATACTTTTTTCTTCTGTGTACTTGAGTTTAAAAAAAATACACAGCCCAAAACAAGTACTTTTATTAACCAAATTGTATTTGAGAGTATTTTCAAATACTTTCCAAGTGTATTTCCAAATACATAAAAATATTAAACTACTTAAACTACCTTTCAAATAAAATATATCTGAATACTTACTTCGAATATATGTAAAGGAATTGAGATATTTGAAAAAGCATTTGAACCCAGGTCTGTTTCCGATTACGGAGAAACCCCATTTGCAGAAAATGATATGTTGCTCGAAGCATCCCACCAGGTGTTTTTCAAATTATGGTCCAAGGTTTTTCCTCCAATAGACTTTTGCATTGTCCTTCAAATTGCAGTGGTGGAAAAAGTACTCAATTGTCATAGTTGAGTAAAAGTAAAGATACCTTAACAGAAAATGACTCAAGTAAAAGTGAAAGTTACCCAGTAAAATACTACTTGAGTAAAAGTACAAAGTAAATGCTATACATCAAATTCCTTATATTAAGCAAACCAGATGGCACAAATGTTGTATTATTTTAAATTACGGACAGACAGGGGCACACTCCAACACTCGACATAATTTACAAACACAGTACTTGTGTTTCGTGTGTCCGCCAGATCAGAGGCAGTAGGGATGACAAAGCGTTATATTGATAGGTGCCATTATTCTGTCGTGCTTGAGCATTCTAAATGTAACAAGTACTTTTAGGTGTCAGGGAAAATGTATGGAGTAAAAAGTACATTATTTTCTTTAGGAATGTAGTGGAGTAAAAGTAAAAGTTGTCAAAAATATTAATAGTAAAGTAAAGTACAGATACCCCAAAAAACGACCTAAGTAGTTACTTAAAAGTATGTTTACTTAAGTACTTTACACCACTGCCAAAGTGTATCTGACCGTGAGGCAAAAGTGAATGGGGCTTGGATGTAAATATATTAGATTAGATTAAGTAATCCAATCAGTCAAAGTACATTGGGTCCTGTCTCCACTAGGAAGAGAAGTTAATTCGGTAGAAGCTGTCAATCTTGATCAGACATACTCACCACTGCTGACCATAGCTGTAATGGACTGATCTTTAACTCCATTCAATGTACAGTTGAAGTCGGAAGTTTACATACACCTTAGCCAAATACATTTAAACTCAGTTTTTCACAATTCCTGACATTTTATCCTAGTAAAAATTCCCTGTCTTAGGACAGTTAGGATCAACGCTTTAATTTAAGAATGTGAAATGTCAGAATAATAGTAGAGAGAATTATTTATTTCAGCTTTTATTTCTTTCATCACATTCCCAGTGGGTCAGAAGTTTACATACACTCAATTAGTATTTGGTAGCATTGCCTTTAAATTGTTTAACTTGGGTCAAACGTTTCGGGTAGCCTTCCACAAGCTTCCCACAATAAATTGAGTGAATTTTGGCCCATTCCTCCTGACAGAGCTGGTGTAACTGAGTCAGGTTTGTAAGTCTCCTTGCTCGCACACGCTTTTTCAGTTCTGCCCACAAATGTTATATAGGATTGAGGTCAGGGCTTTGTGATGGCCACTCCAATACCTTGACTTTGTTGTCCTTAAGCCATTTTGCCACAACTTTGGAAGTATGCTTGGGGTCATTGTCCATTTCGAAGACCCATTTGCGACCAAGCTTTAACTTCCTGACTGATGTCTTGAGATGTTGCTTCAATATATCCACATAATTTTCCTTCCTCATGATGCCATCTATTTTGTGAAGTGCACCAGTCCCTCCTGCAGCAAAGCACCCCCACAACATGATGCTGCCACCCCCTTGCTTCACGGTTGGGATGGTGTTCTTCGGCTTGCAAGCAACCCCCTTTTTCCTCCAAACATAACGATGGTCATTATGGCCAAACAGTTCTATTTTTGTTTCATCAGACCAGAGGACATTTCTCCAAAAAATACGATCTCTGTCCCCATGTGCAGTTGCAAACCATAGTCTGGCTTTTTTATGGCGGTTTTGGAGCAGTGGCTTCTTCCTTGCTGAGCGGCCTTTCAGGTTATGTCGCTATAGGACTTGTTTTACTGTGGATATAGATACTTTTGTACCTGTTTCCTCCAGCATCTTCACATGGTCCTTTGCTGTTGTTCTGGGATTGATTTGCGCTTTTCGCACCAAAGTACGTTCATCTCTAGGAGACAGAACGCGTCTCCTTCCTGAGCGGTATGACAGCTGCGTGGTCCCATGGTGTTTATACTTGCGTACTATTGTTTGTACAGATGAATGTGGTACCTTCATGCGTTTGGACATTTCTCCCAAGGATGAACCAGTCTTGTGGAGGTCTACAATTTTTTTTCTGAGGTCTTGGCTGATTTCTTTTGATTTTCCCATGATGTAAAGCAAAGAGGCACTGAGTTTGAAGGTATGCCTTGAAATACATCCACAGGTACACCTCCAATTGACTTAAATTATGTCAATTAGCCTATCAGAAGCTTCTAAAGCCATGACATTGTTTTCTGGAATTTTCCAATCTGTTTAAAGACACAGTCAACTTAGTGTATGTAAACTTCTGACCCACTGGAATTGTGATACAGTGAATTATAAGTGAAATAATCTGTCTGTAAACAATTGTTGGAAAAATTACTTGTGTCATGCACAAAGTAGATGTCCTAACCGACTTGCCAAAACTATAGTTTGTTAACAAGAAATTTGTGGAGTGGTTGAAAAACGAGTTTTAATGACTCCAACCTAAGTGTATGTAAACTTCCGACTTCAACTGTAGCTAGATCAGCTCTTCTGTGTTCTGGCTACATAAGTGTCCATCCTGGTGAACTGAAAACTGAATAACCAGTAGAAGGAGTTGGCAAAAGTAGAGAGGAGCCCTATTCACACAAAATCAGTAATTGGTTAATGACGGATTTGTTAAGTACATGAGAATCCAAACAAGTATTCAACAGCAGGATAATTGTTTTCAACTTGATCTTCTGAGTGATTGGGGTCCTTCAACTTCTGCAAGAACAGTGGATGTCTGTTTTTTCTACTGTATTTGTTTTGAGATTCTCTTCCCTGCACCTTCCCCCTATAAGCATCACTAACGGTATTGTTGGTCTTTCCCAGGTGGACGGCTTCTTCACCTTGGTCTTTGGCCTCAGCAGCATCAATACTTTGACTGTCATCAGTGTCACAAGATACATCAAGGGATGCCATCCGAGTAAAGGTAAGGCACTGTGACGCAACCTTTATCCTTTCATCTTCATCTCAATGATTCCAATAAAGTTGGAAGAAAAATGCCCCTGTAGGCTAGATGTTCTGGTCAGAGACACAATGTTCTTGTGCGAGCCTTTTTTTAACTTTCAACTCTTTTCCTTTACCTAGCTCACTGCATAACCAACACAACCGTAGGAATGTGCCTAATATTCATCTGGTTGGGGGCTGTGTTCTGGTCGGGTGCGCCCCTTCTGGGCTGGGGGAGTTACACAGGTGAGATAAACATGGCTAGTAATCATGTGACATACTATTTTATACAGGGGCACTTACTTCTGTTAGGATCTTGTAACATTCTGGTTGGGCAACATTTTCAAGATTTGTAGGTGCACAATGACGACAAAAAAAATAATAGAGCTAAAGCAAGTTGTTATCTAAAACATTTGCAGAAGACAATCTTTAAACGAGAACTGACCATATTTTGACATATGTGGACCTTTTTTTCACACTTACCCTGACCTTTTTAAGGGCCAAAATAGAGGAAATTCTTCTTAAATTTTAAACAATCTTCACCTGAACAAATACAAAAACAAAATCAAACATACGCAAAAAAAATGTTTTATCTTCATGTGTTTGTATCTCAATCTCCGCCTCCTTTTAGATCGTGGATACGGAACGTGTGAAATCGACTGGGCCAAAGCCAACTACTCCACCGTCTACAAGTCCTACATCATCTCCATCCTCATCTTCTGCTTCTTCGTCCCCGTGCTGGTCATGCTGTTCACCTACGTGTCCATCATCAACACAGTGAAGCGAGGCAACGCCATGGCCGCTGAGGGAGACCTGACCGACAGGCAGAGGAAGATTGAAAGGGACGTCACCATTGTGAGTAGGATTCAAATCAAATCAACGTTTATTGGTCACGTACACAGATTTGCAGGGGTTACTAGCTCCAAGAGTGCAGTAGAATGTCTCGCAAATACAATACAAAAATCTAAACAAGAACTCAAGACATGACAGAGTGAGTTCAATAAACAATCCAGAGTAGATATATTAGAGTGAGCATGTGTCATAATCCAGAAAATAACAGCTGTACAAACAATACTACATATAGACCAAGCGTTAAAAAATGGGTTATGATTTAACGGTCATCCTAACTTTCGTTTTCTCCCAGGTATCCATTGTCATCTGCACAGCCTTCATCCTGGCGTGGTCGCCGTACGCCGTGGTCTCCATGTGGTCGGCCTGTGGCTTCCACGTACCCAGCCTCACCAGCATCTTCACCCGCCTCTTTGCCAAGTCGGCCAGCTTCTACAACCCACTCATCTACTTCGGCCTCAGCTCCAAGTTCCGCAAGGACGTTGCCATCTTGCTGCCCTGCACCGGCGATGGCAAGGACACGGTCAAGCTGAAGCGTTTTAAACCGAAAGGTGAGGCACACCAGGGCTCCGGAAGAGGCAATGGACTCAAAGCACCTCCTCATAACCAGAAGATGAAGGAGATGAAGTATGCCCCTGGAAATCCTTATCCGCTCACGGCGCTTAAGGCGGCCCCAAGCCCAGATTCGGGAGTGGGGAGCCCCCCCTGTACTCCTCCTCCTCCCGCCAACAAGGAGGTGTTCTTTATCGACGTGCCCCATCTGTCTGATGGGCCAGAGTGGGAATGCGACAGACTCTAAGAACAATACATTTGTTTTTTGTGTTACTTTTTTATTTGAAAACACATGGGAATTTACTTGAAAGGGGGCTACTTGAATTTTAGGGGATCATGTTAAGGATACATATTTTTGTTTTTGATTCGTGTAAGTATGTATACCTGTTGATACAGTTTGAATTGTGTTTATACTTGTGAATAAAACTGTTTATATTTAAAGGGAACGAGTTGAAAGATGTTTACAATATCAATACTCATTCTGTCACTCTTTTAAAATATATATTTCTGTCCAACATAATAATTCAACCACCATGAGAAAATATAGGAGAAGACATTACAGAAATGTAAGTGTATCTCTTATGAAAATGCTCAATATATCCTACTGGCTCTGAGATGCTCAGCTCACGCATAGCCGACATACCAGTTCTAATGATAACTTTACTTGAGTGAGGCAGGCACGTCTTCATGGGCTGACTTGTTTTCGTCCAGTGAAAAAATAATCCATCTGTTCCCCCTTCTTCCAAGGAACTCCACACAAACCAACTTTACCTCAGGTAGGACATGTACCATAAGAAACAGTTGAAGTGAATTAAAGTGTGTTAAACTTTATGATAGGCTACAAGAATAAGCTACAATACCCAAGAGAGCTGTACTAATACAAAACAAAAAGCGGATACGCCTGCAATATGCTCGCGCGTGGGACACGTTTATTAAGTCGGACATTGGAAAGAGGGAGAAAGTAAAAAATAATTATCAGGTTCTTCGAAGCCCCACAGGACAACAGGTTAGCAGATGTTATTTTTGTTTTCTTTATCTTCATGCTTTCTTCAACTTATTTCATGGTGTCTATTCAATAGTTTGAGTGCACATTGTGCAAATAGCCTATAGCTTTTAACATTAAAGTAAGCAATTTAACATTTTGCAAAGTGTTGCAAGAATTCTCACTCACGGCAGGTAGCTTAATGGTTATGAGCGTTGTGCCGGTAACCAAAAGGTCGCTGGTTCTAATCCCCGAGCCGACTAGGTGAAAAATCTGTTGATGTGCCCTTGAGCAAGGCACTTAACCCTAATTGCTCCTGTAAGTCGCTCTGGATAAGAGCGTCTGCTAAATGACTCAAATGTACTTCTAATGTTTGTCTTGACATAGGCTATTGGTCTGCAGTGGACAAGTAAGACAATAGCCCAAGACACACTCTTAAAGGAAAACTCCACCCAAAAACTATATTTTGTTATTTGTTTCATTAGTCCATTGTTGACATAGTCCCAAAATGTTTGCTTGTCAGCAATCAAGTTTTCAAGACATGTAACTTTCAAAATACAGAAATCATCCCCATATGATGCTTTTTGCATCATATGAAGCAAATTGCATCATACAAGGCGATTTCTGTATTTTCCTTTAATGAGCCTACCGTTACTCCTTAAGGTCCAAGGACCTTGTATACTGAACAAAAATATAAACGCAACATGCAATAATTTCAAATATTTTACTGAGTTACAGTTCATATAAGGAAATCAGTCAATTGAAATAAATAAATTAGGCCTTAATCTATGGATTTCACATGACTGGGAATACAGATATGCATCTGTTGGTCACAGCTACCTTTAAAAAAAGGTAGGGGCATGGATCAGAAAACCAGTCAGTATCGGGTGTGACCACCATTTTCCTCATGCGACACATCTCCTTCGCATAGAGTTGATCAGGCTGTTGATTGTGACTTGTGGAATGTTGTCCCACCTCTCTTCAATGGCTGTGCGAAGTTGCTGGATATTGGCCGGAAGTGGAACACGCTGTCATACACGTCAATCCAGAGCTTCCCAAACATGCTCAATGGGTGACATATCTGGTGAGTATGCAGGCCATGGAGGAACTGGGGCATTTTCAGGTCTAAAAAAAAAGAAGTTGGAGGCGGCTTATGGTAGAGAAATGAACATTCACTTATCTGGCAACAGCTCTGGTGGACATTCCTGCAGTCAGCATGCCAATTGCACGCTCCCTCAAAACGTGAGACATCTGTGGCATTGTGTTGTGTGACAAAACTGCACATTTTAGTGGCCTTTTATTGCCCCAGCACAAGGTGCACCTGTGTAATGATCATGCTGTTTAATCAGCTTCTTTATATGCCACACCTGTCAGGTGGATGGCTTATCTTGACAAAGGAGAAATGCTCACTAACAGGGATGTAAACAAATTTGAGAGAAATAAGCTTTTTGTGCATATGGAACATTTCTGGGATCTTTTATTTCAGCTCATGGAACATGGGACCAACACTTCACATGTTGCATTTATATTTTTGTTCAGTGTATGATATCTTCAGAGGTAGACTCTGGCAGCCAAATACTCCATCTAAACGTGAATCGATTTTAAATTGCGATACGGTTCTAGAAACATAAAGCCCTTTACTTTCATATCACATCTAAATGCAAAATATACAGTTGCTGTATACTGTTTTAACCGGCTTTATCACAGTTGCAGCCGATAGTATTTTTCAGTGACAACACGTTTCTGGCGGTCTCCTTCCGTTACACATAGGTGTTCGGCGCATGCTAGATAGCTAATTAGCACAAGTGGTACCTCTGTCTTCCGTCTGTGTTCCGTAAACACGCAATGTAACATGGATATACAGTATCGGCGTCTGGGAACACTAACCCTAACAAGGTGTGTATCAATGTATCCTTTTGTTTTTTGAAAAAAAAATATTGAAGAAATGAAAGATAAGGTCCTTATTCTTCCAAAACCTTATCGCAAGCGATGCGTGTTAACAAAACTCCCCCATACAGAAGACGCCTTCGTCCAATGGAAATGAGAGTCATGATCAAGGGCTAGTAAAACAAGTGCGGACTTGAGCAGCCCTATGAAAGCATAGCCTACTATTAGACCAAAGTGCTTTTCCTGTTTCCCCTTTTTAAAGGCACACCCACATATTATAAGGTTGCCGTCAGGCCTGTTTTAACTCATTGGATAAAGTAAACATGCCAGTGTGCTTTGGAATCTGGTGAATTCAACATGCTGATTTCCAGCATTATCTGCTTTAATAGCTCTTCTTATAAAATGATATAGGCCTACATGACTTGATAGACAGAAAAACATTAACTCATACATCACTGTATCAAAACACGTGGCGTTGAGTCTTTACTTTGACAAAGGAATAATATGTTATACAATTTTTTTCATTTATTATTATTTATTTATTCGTAGGAGACCATGGTCTCATTCTCAACGGTGCCTTGATCACAACAATACAACAACCAATACAATGTAAAACAAAACAACAATCAAAACAAAACATTTATGAAAAACTATTACAGTCCTAGGTCCTTAATTAACACCCTAAACTGCCCGATCGGCACCAGAACATCTAATTGTAATGAGTTATGCAAATTGTTCCAGCAGTGAGGCGCATTAAAACTAAAAGTGGATTTACCTAATTCGGTGGAGACGCGAGGAACCTCAAGAGTTAACCAACCCTGTGAACGGGTTTGGTAACTGGTGTTTTTATAATTCAACAATGAAGTTATGTAAATCAGAAGCTTGTGAAGTAGAGCTATATACTGTAGGGTAATCTAGGATCCTATTGGTCTGTAGGACACTTGCAAAGACCGACTGGCTTTTTGACAGGTACCAGGGCAGCAGATACAGTACATGGCTGTGTGGCTGTGCCTGATGTCACATGGACTTTTCACCTTGCCTCTGCATGAATATACTGTCTCCCTGGCATTCTACAGCAGTAGAACCGTACATAAACATACATCTTTAGCATCATGTCTCCCTGCTTCCAAGTCACGTAAGTCACAGCAGTGACAAATAGTACCTGCCACCTAGAATAACAGTCAGTGTTATCAACAATCTGTCCTTATCCTCCATTGGACATGAATATACTTCCATAGGATGGATGCTAAAGTGGATAGTCTGGCTGGCTGTGCTTACATTTTAAATCTCCCAAACCAGGGTTTAAAAATACTGTTTTTTGAGTGCTTAAAAAACAGTGGGCTGGAGGTCCTTCACCAATATTACATTTTTCTAACAATCATGGGGTGCCCATATTCATATCAATGCTTATGGGTGTGGCCACACACCTGGCCACCCCTGTAATTTGAACCCTCAAAACTGTCCACCCTGTAGACCCACTAGACTGTTCATGCTTTCTGTGATTCCTCAAATGGGTAAAGAAGAGTGGTCATTACTACAATTCTTCAAAACTTTCCAATTGTGTACACACACAATGTACGTAAACCTGCATAAGCTTTACGCCATAATTCAATAGAATGAAAACAGACTTCAGTCCTCTTCAGGGATACTTTAGCCTGATATTGGAGCTTGCTGTTGTGTCTTACTAGTCTAGACCATGGTTAAATGAAGATTGTTTCTGTGGGGATATTACATCACTGGCATCGTGAGTCGTCGTGACATGTTCTTTCTCCAACTGTGCCCACCTGTAGGTTTAACTGAAGAGGTTCCAAACCGCCTTGGACCTGTTTCAACTCTGCAGTGGTGATGTACAGGAAGAGTCCTCAGCTCTGTTTGTGTCTGTAGGTGTCCTTTCGGAAATCACATTACCCTTTTAATCTCCACCATCACCATTCATTACAGATTACAGGACCACACACAGAAAGCTTTGAACCGAATGCGGCTGGTTGTATTGAATTTAGCCTAATCTGTTGGGGGTTCAGTGGGAGTTGAGGCAAGGGATCAACCTGTTTAACTTCTATTAGAGAGAAGGAAAATAGGGCTTATATTGAAGGGTTGTACAGTAACCAGCTGTTACTTAGCATTTTAGGTGAAGCACCGCTGCCACCTTGGACATAAATCAACATTATTCACACACAGCATATGATTATAGTGGAATTCGCCTTAAAACTCAGTGACAACAGCAGTAATGCACACATTTGATTTATTTCCAACACATGTAAATACTCATTGTACATACTCATTATGGCCCTAAAACCTCCACGTGCTTAACACAAGTTTCCTCACAAATATTCCATTGACATTGGTGGATTAAACTGAAATTGCAACCAACTTTCTAT